AACAGAAGTAGGATATATATATATATACATATAATGAGATTTAATTAAATTAAGCTTTTTGTTTTAGTAAACAGTTTCTTAACTAATTCTACCACTAAGATATATAATCATTTTTAACTTTTTCTCACTTTTGCAAAAGGGATTAAAATTTAGCTACCCTAGGTGAATAGTTTTGATTTCAGATCCTCATTTAGCATAGGAGCAATAGAACGTACGTACTACCTGCAAACCGGATTTGACATAAACAATGAGCCAAAAATAAAGTTTCGCAACAGTAGGTCCACAAATTTTGAGGGTCTATATATATAACCGAGGAATTTTTCAGCGGAGGTGCAATTTTTAAAAGCTAAGAGCTCAATAAAAAAAATTTAAAAAGAAAAAGAAAAAAAAGAAACATCCTTATCATTTAATCAATACTAATGTTATTCATAATTAATTAAAAAAATAACATACAATTAACCTACAATTGTTGCGTCGTCTTTGTTGACTTTGTTGTCCTTTTGGGGCTGGGGAGAGACGAGGTCGACCTTATTCTTGGTCTTGGTGGCCAGCTCGTCTCTCAGCTTTGTGGGGTCCACTTTTCCGACCACCGTCAGCTTGTTCGCTTGGCCCACAGATTTCACCGACTCAGCGCCTGTGTTGCATATATAATACACACAACTTAAAAACCATCCCAGAAATGAAACAAAATAATAATAATAATTGAATCTAATTGTGGATGAGATTCAACCCATAAAGTAGAAACAGAGCATAATCTGAATCAAATTCCTTTGGAATATTACTTTTTCCATGCACCAAAATAGAGAAAATAAAAAGAAGACAATTTCATGAGGAGTAAAGAGAGATCAGAATCTCTGAAGACAAAATTTGAAGGAAATCTGATAAACTGGGGTTGAATGATTTTACCTTGAGAAGATTTGACCCATTTGACAATCTTAGAGGAGTTGGGGCCGTCCTTCTTCTTCGCACCCCCGTCATTGTTCTTGTTCTTGTTCTCGACGCCATTGATGTTGTTCTTCTACATGAAACCCAAAAACAAACACCAAAACCATTACTCAAACACAAACCCATCAAGCAAACGCAAGCATATAGAGAGAAAATAAGGGCTAAACCAAACGATAGAGAATCAAAGGCGGATGAATTGGGTCTCACCTTGGCCATTGACAATGGCCCAGTCACTTGCGCATTTCGTCGAACACCTCATGTGCATCGCTGGTCTGAAGCAGAGGTGCAACTCTAGCACCTGTAATGGCGATTTCCAGCGACCGGAGGTGCGGGCGCGCCTCCTTGCGCTTGCACAGGTCCGCCACTGGGTGTACGTCGGTTCGAAACGAATACAATTAAGTCAATCTGCATCCGATCCAATATATATTGGATTGTGATTTTTTCAATCCAATCTCATCATATTAGATGTTTAAATCCAATCCAATCCAATTGATATTTGATTGGATGATCGGTTCTGATAATGAAAAAAATATAATAATAAAATATTAATCATTTATCCTTAGGTTTAATCTAATCAAACATATTAATAGACGTAAATATAAAATATAAATGAAATAATAGAGAAAATTGTTTTGATTATATAATATACTAGCCTCTCCGCATGCGCTTCCGCGCTTGCGAGAGGCTTTTAAAAACAAAATTATTTATTTTAGAATTAAAAAAGAGAATGGATAGTTGTGTTCCATAAAAATAGGATCCATTATCAGAATTTTCTTTTATTTTTAATTTTTTTAATATGAAAAGTGTGAATTTACCATATTATCCTCATTTAATTAATAATTTCAATTCTTAATGTTTGCA